AATTCTCTAATCCTGTTTTCTTCTTTTTGTAGATCGGAGCCACTATAATCCCACACAGGTCATTCTATCGCCATCCACACCATTACTTCCTGTTGTTCTACACCGGAAGTGGACGCCATGCTGGCACCACCGCCAACGTGTACTGCGTCATTCATGGCAAACAAAAGAAAACTAARCCCATAGTGCTTCGCGATCCCGARCGACTGCTTTTCCAGTCAGGAACCACGACCTCATTTTTATTGACCCTGAACAAATCCCTWGATCAAATAACCAAGCTTCACTTATGGCACGACATCRGTGGACCCAAACCTTCGTGGTTTCTTGAAAAAGTTGTAGTCTGTCACTTAAATACTGGTCTGCTGTGGCATTTCGAGGCTCACCGCTGGCTTGATGTATCCGAGGATGACGGCTCAGTCGAGTGTGTTTTTATACGCGGTCCCGAGGTGTAAGTTCTTGCGAAGAAAAACCCTCTTTGACCAAATGTTTTCAAAAGGCTTTACGAATAATCATATTTGGCTGTCCCCTTTTTTGCTCAAAAGTAGAACAATGTTCTCTCGAGTTGAGAGGTTCACTTCYTGTTTAGCTGTTACCATGGTAACAGTACTGGTTGTTACAGTCGCAGTAGATTCAAAAAAAGATGGTGATGTTTTCCCCAGCACGAAGATCATTCTTGGTCCAATGGCTTTTAAACTGAGTGACATTATTTGGGGAGTTATCTGCAGTGTTATTCCATTCTTCTTGCGTCTTCTTCTCGAGCTTCTCTTTACTTACTCAGAGAGTAAATTCAGGCAGCTCCCGCCGGACGAGAGAGATGTAAAAGCACACATTGAYTGGTGCCTGAATAAAGCTAACGAGATAACATTTCTTGATGGGCAATCCAACACGTTCGACGGTGAAAAGGAAAACAATGACGAACTAGAAAACGCAAAGGAAGAAAATGAAGCACAAATAAAAGAAAATGAAAGTGAATTGAGTCATAGGATGAGARAAGRTAGTCTACAAAGTGAAAGTGAGTGGGAKTACTTGGCGGAGTCATGGTCTGAAGTYTCCTTACGCAATATTGGTKTAGATTTAACCGATCACGACTGTGGTTCCGAAAATCAAAATGAAAAYGAGAGAGYGGAAACAGATTTGCACGSTGTTACGAATCCTGATTCTACTCTCGATGGAAATTCTGACACAACGATAAACAAAGGCACTGWGATCGAGAATCAAGGTGAAGTCAAAGAAAATATTTYYCCCTCGATGCCAAACGAAGATGGCAGCCCAATCATTCAACAAGCTGAAAATGAAWTATCAACAACACWRRATACAGAATAYGAGAATCKAGATGACATCCACTTGATAAAAGAGARAGATTTTMTTGCRATACCCAGTGACACATGCCAAACTACTGCTGAATCAAATGCTCARTCACCAGAAAATGTACRACAAAAGAACAGTCWCGAAMMTAYGACAGRGAATGGAGAATGTGTGAAGGAWGTTTTKGGGGAMAGTGAATGCTCGTTTGAAGATGGAAGGATGTCAACTTCGAGTAAAAAGATGGAAAAYGACGRAAATGATGGCRGAATWACCGATCAAGTGAACTTTGCTTATACCAACTCCTTGAGAAACACTGATAAAGTTCCCAAACTCTGGAAAATGATTCCCTTGCCTGGYTTTCTTATCGACCCAAACAGCATCAAAATAAGAAACGAGGAAAACACGCTTAAACTTTCTATCARGTTTTTTTACCTGGCTTTGTTTGTTTGTTTAGCGYTGTCRYTAGCATCTTCTRTCGTCACTATYAAATCCGGCCTTTCCWGGTCCAGTCAGACCACGGTATCCTGGTTAATGACGGTAATATTCGCACTCGTCTTTCAAATATCAATAGCAGARAGTTTCTACGTGTTTTTCCAGGCGATATACTTCGGTGTYTACCTTCAAAGACCRWTCGAGGAGAATGACGTCATCAAYGAGCAAAAAAACAAGGTTTGGGCTAAGGAGGAAGATGACGTCAGATACTACGTGGATGATTTGGATGACRTARGYTCTTCGGTTCCMATGCCACCTAGTGCTCAGGAGGTTAAAAAAGCGCGGAAAAAAGCAGGGCAAGATCGCCAGCTTGAGGAAGTCYTGATGATGGTSGCGTTTGAYGTCATATTTTTGTTGCAACTCGTTATTATATCATTTGGGAATAGAGATGCCTATTCTTATCCAAGTAGGATTGTAGTGGAAACCAACTACAATATCTCCAACTATACCAGCGTAGGTATTTCTTTGGATACAATAGTGAGGAGTAGAGCAGGGTCTATATAGGGTAGAACGTGGTGTATACCGTGTGTAGACCATGATGCTTACTGTATAGAGCACGGTGTATACTGGGTAAAACATGGTGAATACTGGGTAGAGCATAGATGTTACTGCGTAGAGCATGGTGTATACTGGGTAGAGCATAGATGATACTGAGAAGAGCATGGTGCATACTGGGTAAGAGCATGGATGATTCTGTGTAGAGCATGGATCATATTGTGTAGAGCAAGGATGACACTGTGAAGAGCATGCATTGATTATACTGTGTAGAGCATGGTTTATACTGTGTAGAGCATGGTTTATACTG